GCCACATTTGCTGCCTTGTCATTGTCTGCTAACTTTGTCCACCATCATCGCTGAACACCGCCGTCTGCCACAAATTAGAGAAACTAGACATGCTTCAGTGCGCAGTGTCCACACCGTGTGGTGTGTCCACTCCGCCAAATGGCTCTCAACCACTAACAATAGGATCGGTTTCCTGATTGCGAAAGCCGAGTCATTCATCCGATTAATGATACGCGTCTGCCGAACCACAGTGACGCAATCAATTGCGCGCATTCGTTCACTCGTGGCTAATTCCGTGCCTAGAACAATTGCGCATTCTCGTCCTATTATATTTCTTGTCCTATAATTGAGTGTTTTCTCAATTTTTTTGTTTTGACTGAACGTTGTTCACTGGAAGGTGTGTGAGCGTACCGTTACGCCGCCGCATATCGTCACTCTCGATCTGCCACCAGCGCAGGCGCTGGTGGCATGCATCGCGCTTTCCCACGGTCTAGACTGGCTACTGTAAAGTGGCCTGTCTGCACTTAGCGTCGGTCATGCTCGGGTTTGTGGTGGTCGTCCAAAACGACTTCGTCTGTTGAAATCTCCGTAAGTCCGGAGTGTTTTAGCAAAAGGGCAGTTGCATATTTGTACGTCTCTAAAACTGAAGACAAAAATACTTGATAGGGCAGCAATTTTAAAAAAAACACATGTAGATTTTCAAATGGTTACATCCCAAACTGGTGAAATTCCCTGACATGAAACACAATTTTGCGTGAAAATAAGATGCTCGTTTCGCCAGGTTTTTCTCCTCTTTCCAGAAACACTTGATCCGTTTGCACCTGCAATGGTTAGCGGCAACAAAGGCCTTGGCTTGACTGTCGCGGCCGTGGGTGCGGCCTCCACGCGGGTCGTTCCGCGTAGTGAGCACTGTTCCCGGCAACGGTCTGTGTGTTTCGATGATCCGTCACCCACTGCCGCCGCCGTCGCTTTCTCAGCGCATCTGGCGCATTCGCGACTGCCCGATGGCGAGTCATATGGCGAAGTAATCGCTTTCGCCCGCCGCATAGCATCCGCGTGTTCAAACGATTTTTGTCTTTAGTGTGATTGGGCGCGTGATTAAGCGAGTGTGAACAGTGTCTGCGTGGTTGACTCGCGTGCTTCCTGTTCAGTAGCCCTGTTTGGGAGCATTTTATATCAAATGCATGTACTACCGTGTATTTTGCCTTTTTTTAACTAGTATGTCTAGCCAAACACAAGAAAAAGATTTTAAAAAACTGGCATAGAAGTTCCATATAATGTGTTACCCCGTTGTTCTCTCTCTCTCTCTGTATTTTCAGTTTTAACTTTGACATTAATGTGCCTTTTGTGTTTTAAGCGCTGTAAGTGACTCCCAAAAAAAACGTCCACCATAAATCTGTGACGTCGATTTGCCCCACGCGCGTCTCCGTGTGACGTCACGCGGAGACGATAACGTCGATTGATTGCGCCACGCTGACGCTTATACGATGTGCGCTAAGCGCGTGATCTGGAAAATGACGCGCTAATGCGGAAGCGACGCGTCCTTCGAGGAGGCCCCCTTTGAACGAGTGATCAGCGGTTATGGACAAGCTGGCGCAGCCGCGCAGCGCTTGGTTATTTGTGTAAGCGATCGCATATGAAATTAGAAAACACCTTCCTTCCGCAAGCGATTTTCTCGCCAAATTAACATCCATGGATCCATCCATGAGTCGCTCTGTGAGTTGGCCGCTCGAAGCCTAGTGCTCCGCAAAGTGTCCGTGACATTGCATTGATAGCGTGCTGCGTCTTAAATTTCCGCACTGTTATGCGAATGAATCAAGCTGATGAAGGCGTACGGCTATGAGCATTAAGTTTATCCACCCACGAGTCTACACCCTGAAGAGAATTTTTCTTTGACGCAATGCGATCTGTAAAAACACCTCCGGCATTGATTCACTTTCGCTGAATCGACTCCTGCGGCGATGCAGGCTCTCGGGCGTCGAGGCCGCCGCGGCTGCTTTACACCCCTCGTAGGTGTTTTGATTGATTGAAGTGACTCGGACATCGGCAAAGTTGTTGTCCTCTGGTCGTCGCATCGCCTCCGTCAGCCGCCAGCGACCACCGCCGCTCTCGGCGGCCGAGCGCGTTTTCACGTCGCCTTAGTGCAACTCTCGGCTCGGTTCTTGATCCGAGTCGTTAGACGCTGCGTGACGGGTTTTGTAAAGTTTTTATTGCGCATTTACGTGTGCGCGCCTCCGCTGACGAGCCGTAGTTCGAAATGTTTTGTCATCAAACGCAGTCGTGGACACTCGGCTCGGAGGTTCTGAGCGGTTGATGACGCTAAAAGGCCTAAGTGACCCGGGTCCATGCGCCTGTTCATTGCCCTTAGCCGGAGAAGAGCCGTTTCTTTCTTCTAAAGGCTAGACTTTCTACGTCTATGTAGCTGGGTCAAAGCAGACCATACTGCACTTTTGGCGGTTGGATACTTCCTCATCATCCTATTTCCCTAAGTACATTTGCATATTTTGGCGCGTGTCTAAAGTTTGAGACGTAAACTGCAATGCGCCGTGCATTTTTAGTGGCATCTTCCTGTGGCCGTGCTTCCTTCCGATTCACTAGCCCAGAATGCGTTTACTATTCGTGTGATAGCTGCAGCCAGGTGTAATTTGGCGCGACCGGTGACTAACTCCCCTTACTCGCAGGCGTCCAAACAAACTCAGCTCTAATTGCGCGGTTCTCGGTACAGTGGGCGGTGGTCGTCGGATTGTGCCCGTTTACTATGTGCCGTTCGTTTCTCGGAAAACGGCACTTTCTCACTTCGTCCAATCCTTTGATCTTCTCAGTGCGTCTGACTTTGGGTGCGGTGGCGGTTGAAGTGCTCATTGAGACGGCTGAGTAAATGCGGATTAACTTGACGGTGAGGGGCAAACGATCAAAGAAACATTTTAATGACGACTGTAATCGAATTCCTCGCGAGTCCTGAACTTGTACACTTTAGCGCCCAATTTTACTAGCTCTTGTACATTTGAAGCTTGCTTATGTGTCCTCCAGGGCTCTGCTTGTTACGCGCGCGTTCGTAGTAGAAGGGGACTACTTGCCCTCTACTGCTCTATATACGTACCACGTGACATCTTGTTGATGCGAGCACCCAAGCCATAATCTTTGTTGTAGTATAACAATCTTCTCTCAGCCGCATGCTTTCTTTCCCATGCGTCCACACTGGTGGATACCTTCCTGGGAAAGCTGCACGTTTGTTTACGCGTTCACGCCTTAGCCCTCTAAGCCATCGTGGGCCAGCTCTTCCACTGCGTGCCACCCAGCGCGTAGGCCGGCTTGGGGGAAGTGACCGCCGCTAAGAAGATTGCGGCGCACACAATTTATTGCGCTTAACGAAACTAATTCCTCGGGGAGCGGGGCGGTCTTCCGGTTGCGAAAAAAACCCGTCTCGGCATCGCTTTCCGGCCGATGCGCCGCGGAGTGTCGGCGTAATGAGGTTTAGAGACCGCTCCGACTTTGTTGGTGCCCAAAGCGGAGAATGGCGGAATTAGATTCGTGAGATTTCCAAACTTTGTTAGCCGTCTTTGTTAGACTGTCGTTAATTGCTCAAAGAAAGCGCTTGTACCTTGGTCGTTTTGGACCCAAGTCGATCCGCACTCTCGACATTTTAGCCCTATCGACAGATAGTGCCGATATCGATGCTTCTCGGTTTTCGGCTAAGCCACTCCAATGAGGGCACCAGCCCACTTCTCCGTGGACACTAATCCTACGAAAAATCTCTGCTGTCAATCATTCTTTCTTCCGGGCCTCTAGAGGCAACAATCCGTCAAGATGGACGGCCATAAAGCGGAAATGAAACGCGGAAGTGACTCCTCGAGGCGTTCGTGTTTTCTTCAAGCCTTTGCTTGTTCTCAAGCTAACATTGCAATTTCATTTTTTCGCAAATTTTCGAAGTTTGACCTGTATGTTAAAAAGTGGTTAATGGGTAAAATGTTGTGATTTATGTGTGCTAATCGTTTGCGACATGACGTTGCTTATCCGGAGCTTGTTTTCGCGTTTCAGATCCTTCTCGAAATCGCGCAAATTACCTCTTCACGTTTGTACTTTTCTCGCGTGATTCACCCTCCAATTAGCCAGCCGGCACGCTTCCTAATGTTAGCGTTTACAGAGTCCAACCACGAAGCGANGCCGTCGCATCTCTTTGTTGCCGTGTGCGGCAAACTAGATAACTAAGATAAAATATATACGCTTGTAGACTGTAGTCTTTGGTAACAATGCACGCTGTGGTTAGAACAACAGGAGATAGCAAACTATGGCCCCTACGCGATACAACTGGACTTGACTTGATTGCTGAAGGCTTGAATGGCATAACGGATAAACCGCCAAGTTGCACAAGTTCTTCTGAGCAACTTTTTGCAGCTGTACGAAAATAAATAGATACTTGAATTGTTCGACACATGAAGGCACGCACAAACTGAACAGTGCTGTATCAAGAAAGAGAGTGACAGAGCGCATTCGGTCTAGTTCTCCGGAATCACTGAACATCAAATTTATCAGCGCTTTTGGGAGTCAGTGTGAACCTGCAGGTAACACTGGCATCCGGCCCTAAAGAGAGTGTTAGCGGTTTACGGGACATGGGATGTGTACTTGATTTCAACGCCCATGTTGCATTCCACAATGTCTTCTCGGACATTAGTGTATTCAGAAGGACTAAAAGCGACCCGTTCTACGTGATACATTCCGTGCGTTCCGGGACATCACTGCGAAGCAAGAAAGAAAAAGACGGCACGCAGCACAGGCACAGCTAAATTGTCAAAATTGAGTATGTGGTTCTACGTATCGCAAATGGCTTAGCCCAGCAGACGTGACGGGCACAAGACGAATTTCGGCATCGCCTGAGGCCTGCTTAAGCTTTTAAAAGGGTTTTGTGGAATCGCTTTGACTAAGAGTGTCTTCTGCTCTAACAACGTATTTTACGAGGCGGTTTCTGCTTCGTGGACCCCGGAAAACTACCTGGGCCGACTCGGAAGCGGCAAAAAAACTTGAGCCGCGTAGGGGGCTCGAACCCCTGACATTCAGATTAAAAGTCTGACGCTCTACCAGCTGAGCTAACGCGGCAAGTACGGAAGAGTGCGGGTAAGAGCGTCGTGTGTTCCAATGCAAGTGGTCCCGGGTCCATCGTAGCAAGTGACTACCGGAGGGAATTGTTCATTTGGCTCAGATGTTCGAACCTCCTATACGGTTAGCAAAAATGCGGGTTTTGTGGTTGGTTTGCGATCAACATATGAGCAGTCTTCGCGCTTTCCTGCTGAATGTACTACCAGAAAAGTTTTAGCAAGTTGGTCGATTTGTCATCTTCTTCTCGCTCCCTTAAAATGGACCGAATCACAGTTTTGATCAGCTTCGTTGTCAAGAGGCGGTTTCGGGTCTGATACGACCTCCTATCGCGACCTTTGTGGCCAACCAGTAAACGCAAGGATATTCTAAGGATAAACTTTGCATGTTGCTTTTTTAAAGGGGCGCGTCATTTTAGTGCAAGCGTTTCGCTGGTAACTTTGTAACAGACTAAAACACCTGTATTCTCCAAAAACTGGTTTATTGTTCGCAAGAACCCTAAAAAGAGTTCCTGTTTAAAGTTTGGAATTTAAGAAGGCTTGGCATTTTTTTGTAAAAATTTTTAGTCTCTTTGGTGCCAAGGAAGTCCTGCATCGAAATGGCCCCAAGGGGTAGGGGTGCTGCTTTGACCCTTGCATTCATGTTTAGGAGCTGAAGGACGTCCACCAGTACCAAGCATGAGTCACTGCCTGCCAGATGACGCTAAGTCAACGCGTGCGCACTCCCCAACGTGCATCCCCATCACAACATCCGCGTCTATCGAAGTAAACATCGCGACTGCTTGGACCCGGCTGCAAGCAATCCTATCTTTGTTGTCGCTTTTGACCCAATGCCCGATGCCGCGCGTCCTTCTTATTCTTGGACATGCTAAAAGCTGCGCCTTTCGGTGGGCTTTGTCCCTTTCGGAACGAGGAAACAGATCGTTGTTTTTTGTCTTTGGTGAAGCGACTCATCCTTCCCGATCACTATTTGCTTCGTCGGTCAATGGAGGGTATTGTGATGGTGATCACGGTTTCTTTGTCATGACTAGTCTGAAAAATCCTAGAATCTAAGTCACCTGCCGCGACCTTTTTATAGGCATAAGGGCGTGCTGGATTCTCATGCACTCTCTCTCGCACTCATCATGCAGATCCGAGATGAACCTTGCCCTTCAATGCAACGTTAAGTCCTGAACATATTATGTTTTGCTGATTTTGGAACTTACCTTTAGACGAATGGGGCAAATTTGTCGCACTTGCCAAAACATTTTTTGCCTCCTTTCACGCTCAACGCGCAATGCTTATGCTTGTTTACGTGACAGCGGACAACGGCCAAGCGGCGTAGCCAGCTCAGATGGTTGATAATGACACGGTGTCGGAAACAAATTAAGCTCGAAATATTCAAGACAAGCACAATAGCTCCCACAACGGTTCCGGTCGTCAGAGCATGTCGCACGCCTTGCTACTTGCGGTGGATCCCTGTAGCGGAACGGATCAGTGTTACCTCAGAGGATCCCGCGGTAATGTGTTGAACGAACCTCATTCGAAACGTTCAACCCTACTTTGTTGCATATTCCTGCCATTTTCCCTCAACATTTCATCACTCTCTTCCACTCCTTGCTTCCTGAGATGTGCACCGTTGCTTGCGGAATACTACCCTATTCCACCGTGTTCTTGAATGAATTCCACTTGATGCCACTTCCGGCTTGCGACCCGCAGCGCCGCATACGTTGACAGTTTCCGCCATCAGTCGCGCGTTAGCTTTCTTCCTGTGCACCGTTTCACTGCATCGTACGGAGGGCCCTACTAGCTGGCACCATAGGCTTGTATGCTAAATCTTTCTTGACTGCTAAAATTGGAGCGCGCTGGCCAGATCCTGTAGTTGATAACGGCTCCGGTCGCAGAAAAGAGCATGGCACGGGCTGCCTCTTTACGAGGACCGACGGCTTAGAGTAGCATGGCTTCAGTGCCCGTCTGGTGCGACGATTCCTACTGTCACTAAGAGATGCAATTGCACATTTGGCGAATCCGTAGGGGCTTAATAGAGGCACTACGCGTACCGCATGCGATTGGGTAGATATCCTCGTGCTTGTTCCACTTTTGCATCCATGTGGCGAAGCAGCCCTCGGCAATAACGTCGGTCGCCTCTCATCCTTCGCTCGACGCTGTCAGTGCCTTACCATGCGGCAGTAAAGGCACAAACTCCACCCGATTCCCCTCAGCATTTCCTGCGTCCAAAGCTCTGCCTCTGACATGAATCATCTTTTAAACTCAACAAAGCCCATCCCCAATCGGAATGAAGTTTTAACAAATCACTTGTTCTACTTGGCGCCAAACGCGGCGCATCACCATTATATTTTGCTCCACCACATCCCTTTGCCGCGTATATTTGCACTTTTTGTGCGATCGCAAACCATCGGCGTCGCCAGATCAGGTGGCAGATAAGAAGACAGCTCCGGGTGTGAAAAGGGAGACGCTATCGCTTGCCACTTGCGACGGACCGTCAGCTGAGGGCAATAGCGGTTTTTGGTGGAAAGCTCCGGTTCAATGTGTGCCGACCGGGCGCCCAAGGAGAAACCGGCGGCGGTGAGCCGTCGAAATGGGACGCGACTGAAATCAGCAGCTTGGCCGGCGAGCCGGCTGCGACGTCGCGAGAGAGACGCTGCTTTGGAGGGAGGGCGGGCGTATTCCCATTTGCTGGGGTCCGCTGGCTGGCTCGCCGCCTGCCGGGGCCAACGGAGAGTTACAAAAGCGTCGCAGATCCGCCCGCTTGTGTAGAGGGCGCTGCTACTGTTCGCGGCACACAGCTTTCAGTCCAGTCCGGAGTGCGAACCGAGCTGTTTGCTGCCGCTCGGTGGAAGAAACTTTCTCATTTCCATGCCCTTTTAGCGCATCTTATTAGTGTCGGCTCTATTTGTCGAAGGTCTTTTTGTTGCGCACTAATTGCAGCCACATTCCAGCGTGCCTGTTTGACCACCCGGCCCGGTTTCTAGATAGCGGGAGACTTAGAGCAGGTGCGATCTAAGCCAATAGAAGATTTAGAGCTTTTCTGTAGAGGCTTAAAGCGCTTCCTCCAGTCATTCCGAAAACTTAGTGGTCTTCGATTTCGCTGGTTTTTCGTGAACCAGATATTGGGGACTCCATGCTGGTCGTGCAATTTGACATGCCTTCCTATCCGCTTGCGAGTGGGAAGCAAGCTGCTTGTTGCTGCCAGATGCGGTTTCGCAAAACCAAAAGTTAGGAGCATATCGGCTTTCGACGCACAGGTTTAGGCAACTTGGCAGTAATCTCATTATCCCTGAGTGACTGTAGGGCCAACCTTTCTTCAGCTCTTAGCTGTTCCTCTTCGAATTCGAGATGCTTCCTGATGCCACGTAACTTATAACAATGCGTCATGTCGGAAAAGTTGCAATTTTTAAGTTACGACCTTGCCCAAGTTCTACTCGAGATCCATTTTTAGAGAGTCTTAGAAGACTGAGAGAGAATTTTGCCCTATGTGCGCCATCATAAATCGCGAATGCTTGTCACCTGTTTATTCAAAAGACTTCATCGGCACGTGCGGTCAGCTGTTTGTTGTTAGTACCTATTCATTCGAATCTGTGGACCTCTTCTTTGATCGCAACCGTAAAAAAACAGGATTCCTCCGCATCCGCGAAGACCACAAGAAACGCTGCTTTGTCCCGGCTTTATTTCACATCAACGTCTTTTGCCTTCGCTCTTTAGATTCCCTGTGACGCTTGCCTGCGTTTTTGCGCGCTTTGGAAGATAGCAACTCCTTTCATGCATTTCGTGACCGACATTTTGCCCACCTAGTGACGTGCAAACGACAACCTCATCCGCTGCAAGAGGACCCAAAGCGACGGTGCAATGGACGACGAGCAGGCTCGTCATTACCTCGGGAGTCTCTTCGACGACGACGATGTGGGGCTGAAATCGGGTACGCATCAACATGCATGGACTCTGACACGATGGAAACGCCTTCGTACATAATGTTTAAGTTTAGACTTTACACTCTCTCAATCATAGAGTTGGGCTAAGCTTAAAATGTCTACCAAATCCTTGTCTATGCTCCAGATAAGACTACCAACGTGTCAGCTTGAGAAACAGACTAAGGAAGCATGATAAGCACTGAGTGTTACGCAACGGTTAAGGCTAACTCTAAGGGCCGTTTGGACTGCAATGAGTTTATCAAACAGCTCTTACAGCTTTGAGGCCCTCCAAGCATGTCGTTGAGGGCTAGTATCCTAGGGAGCTCTAAGCTAGATGTCCAGTGCTGATGACGCATGCTTCAATGCAAACAATTTAGACTCGAGCAGTGCCGCTACGTCGCAGAGCAGCTATCACACGGCGGTCACCACGTTCTGGGCCGACTCGCCGCCACCGCCGTGCGGTACGCCGCCCGATTCGGACCAGTTCGACGAGTTCGTTGACGCCAACAGCACCGTGGAGACGAGCCGTTGGAACGGCTCCGAGTCGAGTGGCGACGCTTGCATCGGCCTCGTGCCCTTCTTCCAGTCACAGCCGCCGCCGGTACTCGCTGCGACGCCGCCGCCGTTTCACGCTGCCAGCCCGCCGCCGTTTGGCGCTGCGACCCCGCCGCCTCAGGTTCCTCTGGTGCCACCGCAGATTGATGGGCTCGCCAAGAACTACTACGAGAACTTCCCTACTCTGCTTCAGCTTTTCGAGGACAACAACCAGAACTTCCCGACACTGCTGCAGCTCTTCGAGGGCAACCACGAGGTATGGGTTACCTATTTGTCTATTTACTGGACTCAGTTGATCCGAGACATGTACCAAAGCCATATTTTGAGGACTATAACTGTTCTTTAGCAAACCCAATCGAAGTGGAACTCCACGCATGCGGAGTCCGCGAACAACTCTTTCGACCTGCCTGCCAGTGTTCCACAGTGGGTCGTGGATGCGGCCCGACAGCTGCAATACCACCACCCGATGTCCGTCAAGACCGACTGGAACGCGGCCGGGTAAGCTCTAATGACATCTCGTACAAGTGATATGGGGAACTTC